CTATATCTCTCTCTATCACCACTATCCTGATAATTAATCCCCACTGCGCGGATCGCGCGCCGAGGATAGGCAAGCCCTTCGTCAATAACGCCGCGTGAATCAAGGCTGGCAGAGCTCCAAAATGCGAGGCATGGATGAACGGCTCCGATAGTGCCGATCGAGGTCACCCAGGCGTTTTCTCTCGTCTGAAACTCTCAGATGCTGCAGCTCCCGCGGAGCAGCAGGCAATGGCTGGTCGTACCACCCGAACTAGCCATGGCTTCGCTGCGCTCTGCGGTGCGATGTGACAGCAGCACCGACATTTCCGACGCTACGGGTTAGAATATATCGACGTAACGCGAGCGCAGATCCGACCTCTGCTATTACGCTGTCTGTCGCTTATGAGAATTCCTGCTCGTTCTCCCTAGTCATGCCTCAAGGTAACCCTCTCACACTTCTAACTGATGGCTGCTCTCCCACACGGGTCAGATTCACATCCGAGTTCGAGCCAACTTCAAGGTTGCCCAGTTGAGGTCCACGTGGTCCAACAACAAGTGTTAGCGAGTAAAATTAAAGAGTGCATTTTAATACGGTTAGATGCGATTTCGTACCTTTCCGACAGGTTCTTGTTAGGATGTTTCCCTAGATTTTCTAGCAATACACGTGTGAACATGACTTGCAAAAGCAGCAGTATAAGAAAACGGCATCTACTTACAGAATACACGTGCGCAACAACTCAATAAAATTTCCTCTAAAACAGGCACTCAGATTGCAAGACATTCTACCTCCTGCTAGATTACAATCAGGGTCTCTAAGGGTACACTCAACCACTAATTGATTGTGTCAAATTCTATCAAGCACAGATCCATCTGATGTCCTCTGAGAAGCAAGCCAGTGGAGTATGGACTGGCAGCATGCCATCCATGCCCACCCCGGCATGGACTGGCAGTGCACCAAACAGGCAGAGAGGAAGGTGGGCCACGAGCATTGCTATGCCCAAGACGTGCGGGTGCCCTACTAGGGACTGGCTGTGCCCACCCCCACCTCCATCAAATGACAACTGCTGGCCAGACAGTGTTGGCACTTGACGGGGCGGAAGGGGACACAACCAGTCCGGTTTGGCCCGGAATCGAGTGCCAATGCTCATGACTTCAACCCCTCTCGTGCACCGGCCACACATCACAGCCACCTCTCACAGCCATGCTTGCCGCGCATGAACGCACCTGCAGGAGCGCGATAGACACATATTAGTAGAGGCTCTTACAAAACAAAAGCAGTTTAACAAAAAAAGAAACCACTGAAAAATAGAAACCACGCGCATGAGAATGGGAGGACGAAGGTAAGGGCTGGGACTTATCTGTGATTGAGGAGCTTGAAATGTGGAGCTTTGCACACGGCCTTGAGCCTTGAGGCGCCTCCCATAGCTTCACCCCCTCTTGTGCAATGGTCACACGCCACAGCCACCCAGTGAGACTGCCATGCTTGCTGCTCATGAACAAACCTGCAGGCAGAGGAGCACAAGGGAGACACGAATTAGTCCAGGCTCTTACAAGAAAAAGAAAAGGCAGCATGCATTAAAGAAAAGAAAAGAAAAAAACGAAGTAACAAACATAAAAACGAGGAGCTAACTACTGCAAAACAAAAACACGAGAATCAGAAAAGGAGGGCGAAGGTTAAGGGCTGAAACTTATCTGAGGTTGAGGAGTATGGACTAGGGAGCGGTGCTTGAGCGTTGAGGCGCCTCAGCAGGCCATGGATCTTGGGCATGCTGGAGTGTTCTCGGGGGCCCATGGCGTGCAGATGGCGCTTGGAGAACCTGCCATGAGGCGAGATAAAACAAGTCAGTCAATTGCGAGTTGTATCACAATCTGAAAAATAAAACAAAGAATCAACAAGCTTGGAGTTAGCAGTGAAGGAGTGTTGGAGCGAGAAAGCAAGGGACGAGGCTGGGATTGACAACTTATCTTGCCATGGTTGTTGAGCCTTGAGGCGCCTCAGCAGGCCATGGCGCTCCCATGGATCTTGATTCTTGGGCGTGCTGAAATCCCTTGGTGAAACAACCTGCCAAGTGAAGCCAGGAGATCCGAGTTAGAAAGGCAAGTCAATGAAGGAAAACGTAGCAACATGCAGCAAGCAGTTAAAACGAAGAGGATTGAAACGAGACTTACTGTCAGTGGAGAGAGAGGAGGCACCTGCCAGGTGATGTTGTTAGGTACGTTCACCCCGCCTTGGAGCTTGGCAATGTGATGCTCCTCTGAGACCATGTGGAGCGTGGCACAAAAGGCCTTATATAGAACCTGCAAGGAGATCAAGGGAACTAGGTTAGTGAACATCATTAAAGTGATCATGCAGAAACGAACGGTGCTGCAAGTGCGGTGCAAGTGTGTGCTGCCTACAGAGCCAATACCAACCAAAAAACCTGAAGGGGACCTTTACCACCTCAACCTTAACCAAACCTGAACCTTTACCATACCTCAACCTGAATTAAGGGGGGTGGCTCTGAGGAGTGTGAAGGGTGGGTTGATACTTTCAACCTTCACTCGTGGAGCTGCTCCTCTGTTGGCCGCCATGAAGGATGGAAGGCCACCAAAGGATGTTGCTCCTCTGAAGTCCTTTGAAGAGCGCAGTATAACCCCAGATAGAACCTGCAAGTAAGGAAATAAACAAGAATTAGTAAAGGTCGGGCAAGAAAGCATGCAAAACGAAAAGCGTGAAAATACCGAGCCAAATACCAACAAAAAAAACCTTCAGGGGAACCTTAACCAAAACCTCGACCTGTAACCTCAACCAGGGGGGGTGGCTCTGAGTGTAAAGGGGGGTTTGATACGTTCAACCTTCATTCGTGGAGCTGCTCCTCTGTTGTCCGGCATGAAGCATGGAAGGCCGAAAAGGATGTTCTCTCTCTGAAGTCATCCAAAGAACGAAGTTAACCCTCAGATAAAACCTGCAAATATGGAAATAAATCAGAATTAGTAAAGGTCGGGCAGCAAAGCATGCAAAACGAAAAGAAACGTAGAGAAAACAGAGCCAAATACCAACCGAAAAACCTTCAGGGGGACCTTTACCAACCTCAACCTGTACCTAACCTTAACCAGGGTGGTGGCTCAGGAGTATGGGGGGGAGGTTGATACGTTCAACCTTCTCGTGGAGCTGCTCCTCTGTTGTCAGTCATGAAGCATGGAGAGCCCCGAAGGTCGTTGCTCCTATGAACTCTTCGGAAAAACGCCTAGCACCCTCCATTAAAACCTGCAAGTATAAGCAAAAACAAAGTTAGTAGATGGAAGTGAAGAAAGCATGCTATGGAAATGAAGACTTAACAAGCGTGAATGAAACATGTGCTGCCCCACCACAGAGCCAGTACCAACCAACACCTCCTGGGAACCTTTACCGAACCTGTACCAAACCTTAACCAAAGGGAAGGCTCTGTGGTGAGTGTTGGTGGAAGGTGATACATTTAACCTTCACCGTCACAAGTCGGGGAGATCAATGTCGCTCCCACGGTCAGGTACAGCAACCAACCCACCGTGTCGACGGTTAGGGATCACGGTTTCGAAACTCCCACGGTCGAGGTTATGACGCTCCGCGATCCGACCATCGGATCCAGGCCTGGCTGAACGGTGTCAACGTGAGACGATGGTAATGGTGACGGTCCGAAACTGGTCGACCGATCGGAAGCCAAGCTCGACTGGCAAAATGCTTACAATGCTGCGGAAACTAACAGAAATCTCGAGAAGAAGAGCCGGAATACGAAGTGAACCTGAAGATGCGTGGGATGTCTCATTGCGGATCGTTGGGATGAGCTACTCGGTGAACAGAGCCAACGGTTGGAAATCGCCTTGCTGGCTCTGATGGTGGTCCCAATCGTGACACGGTGGACTATGGTGGATCATAACGATTCGCCGACATCAACATGATTGGACCGCAAAAATAACCCCAACGTCTGATTGGACCGCCAAATTAACCCCAACGTTTGATTGGACCGCATAGTGTGCAACGAAAACACTATCCTCTGTACTCAATTTGGGACACCTTATGCTGTTTCAACGGCCAGACAAAAAACCCGGGTGGAAACACGAAAATCGAAGGTCTAATGACGTGGCCTACAAAACTTCCGCTAACTCAACCGCCGCGATCCGTTTCCCGAAGCGTGCTACTGAATTGAGCCGCTCTAGCGCGTGGGAGGCGGCTGTTGGCAGAAGAGTAGGGGGGGAACTCGAAATCTGTCTGGTTTTGTTCTGACAGAAGCAATGGAGGAGCTGCGAAACCCATCATAGGCCACAAAGAGAAGCCAGGGTTTGGTCTGGCGAACTGGCGAGCTCACGGGTAACTTCTGTTGTTGCCATTCCTCAGTGGTATTCGGAAACTGGGTTTCGCCAACCGTGGGTGGAGTCGGAGGTCGAGTTGAGTTGAGCGGTGACGTCATGGTTCGCGAAAGCTTGTCGCGCATTGTGGTGACGGCGAAGTGCTTCGTCATTCTCTGATTGTATGGTGGGTGTGGGAACATGGAGGGATGTCGGATGGGTGACGGAGGGTCCAATCTGTTTAATCACGGTTCGGAAAGGTTTAGCGGGTTTGCAGTTCCCTGGGAAGTCCATCTTCACATTCCACACTTACGGGGTTGTACCTCACGTTTGTCCGCAGAACATCAGTCAGTGCGGTTCAATAAGTGTTTACGAGGTAGTGAGCGGTACGTTAGGCTAACCACTAGCACCGTAAAGCACCAGCCAGAACCGTTGTTGAGTGAACCAGAATCACATCTTACGTTTTCCCCCCAAAAATCCTCTTCGCATCGCAAGGCATAGCCCAAGGTCCCCCCCATGGCACACATCATTCCATGCAAGTACTAGTACCAGTCTACAGCTCGACTCCCAAGAGTCCGCCGTCTCGACTTCACCTTCTGACTGACACCTCGCGGCTGTTGCACCAGATTTCGGCGCGAGAGGGCCCCACCATGCGATACCGCCGTGCGACATTCTGCCAGTCGCCGCAAATTGTTAAGGAATCATATCGCAATTAGCATCATGCAGCGACACCTACCTGTGCTCATGCTGCTGCTGTCCCTGGCGCTTCTGCCTAGCGAATTGCCGTCTCATGCATCCGCTCTACCGCGCACGTGCGGAGTGGCGGAGCAGGGGGAGGCTGCAGCTGGCGGAGAGGCGGGAAATTCCGGCGCAAGCGCAGGGATAGCGCACGTGTGCGATGCGCGCGAAGCGGGAATGCCGGGGAAGGAGGGCGGCGCGGGGGACGATGAAGGCGGAGATAGTGAAGCGGTAGAGAGCGATTATAAGGAGTATCTTGACACCTTGGACGAAGCAGAGCGGCAGGTGCGCGCTGCGTAACACTGCGGATAATTTTGGGGGACGGGAATTTGAGCGGCAGGCGCGCTTCTGTCCCTGCGCCCTCCTTATCCGTCGCAACGGCCGTTTCCGCTCGCGTCGCTCATCTCCTCCTTTCTCACTCTTCCCTTCCCGCACCTTCTCCTCCCCTCCTCCCCCCTCCCCACTCTTTCCGGCCGCTTCTCGCCGCGGCGCCGTGGGCGCAGATGGAGGCGGGGGAATGGGCGCAGGCGGAGGAGCTGTTCTCGCGCGTGGCGCACGTGGGGGAGGGGAGGGGGAGCGCGGATTCAACAGCGGAGTGCGCAGGGGCGTCGGGGGGAAAGGGGGAGTTGGCAGTGCGGGAGCGCATGCTGCAGGGGCGGGGGTGGGCGCGCACCCTGATGCAGTCATACGCGCTGGCGGAGAGAGACCTGCGCGAGGTGATCGGGGAAGCGAAATGGAAGGGTTGGGGGAGAAGAGGGAAAGAGCGGGGAAGAGGATGGGGAGAGGGAGGCAGGGAAGGGAAGCAGGGAAGTTGGGAAAACGAGGGAGATAGCGGGGAGGGGTGTGATGAGGCGAGGCGAGGGTAGATTACGTGCATGAGAGTTGCTGCTCTGCTGCAACAAGTGGCTGACCCATACTTCCATTGTATGCATCGCATCCCGTGCGGCGTGCGCCGTGCACTTGGTTCCCTCCCCAGGGCGTGCGCAGGTTCCCAGGCAACGTGCGCATGTGGGAGTGCCTGGGGTCGCTGCACTTCGACATGGGCCTCATGCCGCAGGTGGGGTGGGGGGCCACGTACGTGTGTGTCTTTTTGTGTGCGAGGGGGAGTGCGGCGTGTGATAGTGAACGTGAGAGGTATGAAGTATCGGGTAAATGTCTGGTGATGAGGGAGGAGTGGCAGAGGGAGCGGTGAATCGGACGAGATAGCTTCACGGAAGGAGAAACCTATCTGGTCCATCCATTCTACTCAATTCGTGCTGCCCTGTGCTGTGCTGCCCTGACAACATGTGCTGTGTGCAGGCATACGACGACTTCTCACAAGTGCTCGCGCTGCACCCCAACCACATCGATGCTCTCCGATGGCGAGGCAAGCTGCCCCTTTCAATTTCTCCCTCACTCACCCCTCGCACCATCACCCACCCCTCTTCCCCCCCTCACCACGACCACCACTGCAGCACGCCGTTCTCCCTGTCACACTAAACCACATCCCTCCTGGCCCTCCATCACATTCACTTCTAGCACGTTTCACAACACTTCTTCACCCACCATACATGTGGTTGCCCCTATCCCTCCCCTCCCATCGCCCCATCCCTCCCCACCCCACCCCTCCCCACCCCTCCGCACACCATCCTCCCGTATTTCTTCGCTTCCCATTTTTGCCTCCAATGCCCAGCCCCGCCCCCGGCCCCTCTTCTCTCCCCCGCCTGCAGGGCTGGCAGCGCACAGGCTGAGGCGGCACCCAGAGGCCATAGCGGACCTGAGAGCTGTGCTGCGCGCCGAGCCCATGGACTCCTTCCTCCTCAAAACCGTGGTGCGTCTCCGCCTCCCTCTCTCCCTCTCTCCGTCCCCCTCTCTCCCTCTCTCCGTCCCTCCCTGCTCCTGCCTGCTCCCTGCCTGCTCACTGCCTGCCGTGCGTGTGGCCATGTGTGTGTGTGCGTGTACGGCTGCCACGAAGCTTCAGCGCTCGCTCTGCATGGCAGAGGTCACAATGCTTCCTCCCCTACTTGCCCCATTGCAACATCAACAAATCCGTCCCGCACCCATGACCTCTCCTCCCTCCCTCGCTCTCCCGCACCCCATCCCTCCAATCCCCTCCCCTCCCCTTCCCCCCTCGGGCCACAGGCCCTATCATACACGTGCATGGGGCAGTACCGCGAGTCGCTGGCGGTGTGGCAGGAGGCGGTGGAGCGGCATGCGGGCATGGCGGAGATGTGGGAGGAGAAGGGCAGCGTGCACCGCATTCTCGGCGAGGACGCCCCCGCCATGCTCTGCCTGCTCACCGCCCTGCGCCTCCGCAGGTGGGGCGCGGTGGGAGGGCGAGGTGGGAGGGAGAAAGGGGAGGGCGATGGGGAGGGTGAGATGGTAGAGAGTGGGGGAGGCTAGTGCAAGGTAGCAGGTGACGAGAGGTGGGTCTGGCATGACAGTTGGCATGGGTGGGCGTGCAGCACACTGCATGCAGTGCAGGAGTAACTTTCATGTGCGGCTGCCAGTTTCGTTGTTGTGCGGCTTCCCATTTGCGTTGCGTCCTCCCCTTTCGAATTCCCGCCCCCCTGCTTCTCACCTTGCATGGTCTCCTTTCACCCTGCACGCCACACTCTCTACTACACCTCCTCGCACGCACCTCCACCCGCTTCATGCTCCCTGCCCTCCCCACCCTTTCTGCCCTCCCTCTCTCTACCCGTGCCATTGCGAGCTCACTTGTCCCCGCCATGCCATCTGTTCCCGTGCCATGTGTGGCAGCTCACTGGCAGCGTATCGAAACATAGTGGCGCTCAGGAGAGGCCTGGGTGACTACAGGTGGAGCTCCGGGACCTCCTGCTACTGCTCTCATCCTTGGGCTTGTCCCATGCTTGCTGCTGCTGCTGCTTGCTGCCGCCACCGTCACCGTCGCTGTTGGTGCTGATGCTGTTGCTGTTGCTGTTGCTGATGCTGATGCCGATGCTGATGCTGGTGCTGATGCTGCTGCTGCTGCTGATGCTTATGCTGATGCTGATGCTGATGTTGATGCTGATGCTGCTGCTGATGCTGATGCTGATGCTGCTGCTGCTGCTGCTGCTGATGCTGATGCTGATGCTGCTGCTGATGCTGATGCTGTTGCTGTTGCTGATGCTGATGCTGATGCTGATGCTGATGGTGTTGCTGATGCTGTTGCTGATGCTGTTGTTGATGCTGATGCTGATGCTGATGCTGATGCTGATGCTGATGCTGCTGCTGATGCTGATGCTGCTGCTGCTGCTGCTGATGCTTATGCTGCTGCTGCTGCTGCTGATGCTTATGCTGATGCTATGCTGATGCTGATGCTGATGCTGATGCTGCTGCTGATGCTGATGCTGTTGCTGATGCTGATGCTTATGCTGATGCTGATGCTGATGCTGATGCTGATGGTGTTGCTGATGCTGTTGCTGATGCTGTTGTTGATGCTGATGCTGATGCTGATGCTGATGCTGATGGTGTTGCTGATGCTGATGCTGATGCTGATGCTGTTGCTGATGCTGATGCTGATGCTCTTGCTGTTGCTCCTGCGACTACTCTTTTGCTACTACCGCTGCTGCTGCACTGCTCCTGCTGTTGTTGCTGTTGTTGTGAATCATCCACCTCACTGCCAGCTCCATCAGTACCAAACTGAACCTCGTGCATTGCCCGATGCTCACGCATCCCCATCACAGGGGCGCCATAGCATATGTGAGGGAGGGCGTGCAGGCGGAGGGAAGCGACTTGGAGCTGCTGCATGCGGAAGCCTGCGCACTGCACTCCCTGGGGGACCTGCCTCAAGCTGTGAGTGCCATGCGCGTGTTATGTGCTGTGCTGTGCTTTGTGCTGTGTAGTGTGTGCTACACCGCAGTAGCACCTCAATCATGTCTGGATTTTAGAAGAGGCAACGTGAGGGGAGGCGACCATGTGCATTTACAGATATGACACTTAAAACGTGTGTACCATGCATGCATGTGTGGGCATGTGCATGAGTGCATACATGCACGTGTGCGGGTGTGTGGGTGAGTTGGTGTGTGTGTGTGTGTGTGTGTATGTGTGTGTGTGTGTGTTTGTGTGTGTGTGTGTTTGTGTGTGTGTATGTCCCCCCTGTGTGCCTGCCAGCATGCCAAGTACACGCATCTCACCACGCAGAAGCCCAGCAGCGACAAGGAAGCTTCCTTCCTCATCACTGCCTTCTACCAGGTCAGCCCGCCCTCTCACCTCCCTCACTCCTCACATCATTATACCCAAACACGCAACCTCACACCCAACTACACCCTCTCCCACACCTACATACACACACAGCCACAGTTACCTGTCTTAAAGCATGTGCCGCTCACAGTCCTACCTTCCCAGTTTCCCGGTATCCCGGTATCCCGGTTTCCCGGTGTCCCGGTTTCCCGGTTTCCCGGTTTCCCGGTTTCCCGGTTTCCCGGTATCCCGGTGTCCCGGTATCCCGGTATCCCGGTATCCCGGTTTCCCGGTTTCCCGGTTTCCCGGTTTCCCGGTATCCCGGTATCCCGGCATCCCGGCATCCCGGTTTCCTGGTTTCCCGGTTTCCCGGTTTCCCGGTATCCCGGTATCCCGGTATCCCGGTATCCCGGTATCCCGGTTTCCCGGTTTCCCGGTTTCCCGGTATCCCGGTATCCCGGTATCCCGGTATCCCGGTATCCCGGTTTCCGGGTTTCCCGGTTTCCCGGTTTCCCGGTATCCCGGTATCCCGTTATCCCGGTATCCCGGTATCCCGGTATCCCGGTTTCCCGGTTTCCCGGTTTCCCGGTTTCCCGGTTTCCCGGTATCCCGGTATCCCGGTATCCCGGTATCCCATTATCCCGGTTTCCCGGTTTCCCGGTTTCCCGGTTTCCCGGTTTCCCGGTATCCCGGTTTCCCGGTTTCCCGGTTTCCCGGTTTCCCGGTTTCCCGGTATCCCGGTATCCCGGTTTCCCGGTATCCCGGTATCCCGGTATCCCGGTATCCCGGTATCCCGGTATCCCGGTTTCCCGGTATCCCGGTATCCCGGTATCATGGTATCCCGGTATCCCGGTATCCCGGTATCCCGGTTTCCCGGTTTCCCGGTATTCAGGTTTCCCTGTCTCCAGGTATCCTGAGTTCCCGGTTTCGCGTATGGGCACACACATAGCACTACACACACACACCCGGCACGCAACACTCATCTTCCTGCGTCAAAGGCACATTCAATTCAGTGCTCTGCTCTGTTTATGAAATGTTCCAAAGTTGGCTGTTTTGTTCTGTTCTGCGGGTGCGTTTCTTGCCCAGGAACGAGCAAGTGCTGGCATTCACATGAGTGGACGAGGGGCTGCGAGTGGATGATGAGCCTTGCCTTGAGTTTCCAACGAAGAATCAGCTGGTCAGAAAGCCGGGTTGCGAATCACCTTACGGAAGATCCTCTTCTAGGTTCCAACCAACAGCATGTAGCATGATGACACGAAACTCCGTCGACATGAAACTCGTCAGCTGCGTTGCTTGCACACTCAGCTGCGTTGCTGGCACCCTCAGCTGCGTTGCTCGCACCCTCAGCTGCGTTGCTCGCACCCTCAGCTGCGTTGCTAGCACCCTCAGCTGCGTTGCTAGCACACTCAGCTGCGTTGCTCGCACCCTCAGCTGCGTTGCTAGCACACTCAGCTGCGTTGCTAGCACACTCAGCTGCGTTGCTAGCACACTCAGCTGCGTTGCTAGCACACTCAGCTGCGTTGCTAGCACACTCAGCTGCGTTGCTAGCACACTCGGCTGCGTTGCTAGCACACTCGGCTTCGTTGCTAGCACATTCGGCTGCGTTGCTAGCACACTCGGCTGCGTTGCTAGCACACTCGGCTGCGTTGCTAGCACACTCGGCTGCGTTGCTAGCACACTCAGCTGCGTTGCTCGCACCCTCAGCTGCGTTGCTAGCACACTCAGCTGCGTTGCTAGCACACTCAGCTGCGTTGCTAGCACACTCAGCTGCGTTGCTAGCACACTCAGCTGCGTTGCTAGTGCTGAGAATTCCATTCTAAGGGAGAGCTGAATTGCGTGTGACGCACGGCCAGAGTTTTGGCAGTGATTCTGGACAGAATGTTAGCATGACTTAGTAGAATTCGAGCATAGTTTCACTAAGGAAAAATTGATAGAACAAGATTATGGTACAAGGAAAGAGATCACAAATAGCAAGCACAATGAACCCTGGAGAAACGTTCCTCGACGAACGCTCGACTTTTCCGAGTCAGCAACGCCTGGTGAAACAACAAGCATACGTGTCTTTCCCCTGAGTTGGCAGCTTCTCAGGTTGCTAACGTTCAGAGTTTACGTTTTTACTGTTAGTAAAAACGTGTTTCAGGTTCAGTTTCCTTACTGATTCGAAATCTCATGGGGAGTACAATTTCTGAAATGCTCTGATTGGTTGAAATTTGCTGTTTCGCGATTGGTCGAAATTCGCGCACATTGCGAATTTCAGAGACAAGTAATTTCGGTCGATCGGAATCGCTCTGCTCGACGATGCCTCTTTCGAGCTTACTTCTGTCGACCAGCGTTTCGTCGAAACGTTGTTTTCTCCAATTCCGTCGACCTGCAAGGCTCGATTTCGACGCCGATTTGCTCCCCTCGACAAGTGCCTTGTCGACGGGTAGTTGCGTAGAGCATAAACAACACTTCAATTTCGACTACTTAATCTTATCGAAAATCGACCCGTCGAACAGAGATAAAAGTCCCTGAAGTCGTCGATGACCACGAAACGAACACCGTTGTGCTCCGAAAAGCATGGCCAACTTCGCCCAAGCGAAGGCGGGGCCTTTTCTCCTCGACACTCCACTGCCCAGCTCGAGCTTGGGCCCCCACACACAAGGTCCACCCAGAACCTACTTAATAGAATACAAGGGGATATTTCTCTGGCGTGCACACCTCCGCACGCCGATCACCGCACCAGCCATGTTAGAGGACATGGCACCTACTGCTGCACGTCGTCGTCGTCGCCGACTTCGGCAAGGCGAACCTGACCGACCGCGACAGAGCACCGATTGAAGGCCGGAAAGTGCAGCCCTTTCGTAAGGAAGTCCGCCGGCTGCTCGGATGTCGGGATGTACTCCAGCGCAATCTTCTTGCGCTTCACCATCTGCTGCAGCCAGGCGTAGCGTCTCTCCATATGCTTGAGATTGCCCTTCAGCCCCAAGCCCTCAGCAACAGCGATGGCGGACTGATTGCCCACGTTCAGAACAGCTGGCGTCCCAGCATCAAGGAGTTGGAACTCGGCGAGGAGGAACCGAAGTCGACGAGCCTCCTTTCCAGCTTCGGTGGCCGCGATGTACTCCGACTTTGTAGAGGACAGAGTCACGCAGTTGATGCGTTGGCTCGTCCAGGAGTCAGCTGCGCCGCCGAAGGTGAAAGCGTAGCCACTTGTGCTAGTGCGATTCTGCTTATCGCCGGCGTCGTCCGCGTCCGCGTAGCTGACCAGTTTCAGAGTTTCGGGTCCTCCTCCGAACTCCAGAGCGAAATCGCGCGTGTCGGCAAGATAGGTGAGGCAGCGATCGACCTCGCGCTAGTGCTGATCGCTCCTCACCGTCAGACCAGACCCCAGCTTGCTACACGCGAAAGCAATGTCGGGCCGAGTTGTTGTGGCAGCGAACTGCAGCGAACCGACCTTCTGACGGTACTACTCCTCTTCGCGCGACTAGAAGTCCTCATCGTCGAAAGTCAGCTCCACGTAAGCGTCAACGAAAGCAGGCGTCTTCGGACGCCGACCAGTCTGCTCCTCGTCGATGAAGCGTCTACGCAGCTTGTTAACGTAGGACTGCTGGTGCAGCCACAACTTCCGCGCCGGACGGTCGCGCACGATTTCGAGCCCCAAATACTTCTCGACCGGGGTGATCTCGCGCAGCTCGAAAGCGGCCTCCAGCAGCTCCTTCAGCTCCTTCAGCATTGCGGTGCTGCTGCTGGCGGCGAGGAGGTCGTCGACGTAGACGAGCACCCAGCATGCCACTCCGTCGTCGCCAACTCGGAAATAGAGGGCCTCGTCGACCTGGCTCTTGCTCCAGCCGGCGCCAGTTAGCACAGGGTCGAGCGCCGAGTACCACAGCAGAGGACTCTGCTTCAGCCCGTACAAACTCTTCAGCAGCTTGCATACGCGGCCGGTACCATCGTTGTAGTAAGCCGGCTGATCCATGTAGAGCACGCGATTGAGCTTGCTCTGCAGAAACGCATTCTTCATGTCCTGCTGCATAAGGTGTAGATCGAGAACGGCGACGATGCTGAGAAAAATCCGCAGCGTGACGTAGCTCCCGACCGGTGCGTACGTCTCGTCGTAATCAGCTCCGTAGATCTGCGTGAAGCCTTTCACCACCAGGCGCGCCTTTTTGCGGGCAACTGTGTCGTTGACATGGTACTTCGTTGTCAGAACCCAGCGGTTCTTCATGACAGTGACGCCGCGTGGGCGCTCCACTAGCTCCCAAGTGCCGATGATGATAAGACTTCGAATCTCCTCGTCCATCGCCGCTTTCACCGCCTTGCCCTTCCAGCTCGCTAACGCTTCCTTCACTGTCATGTTAGCGATGTCCCATCGATGCTCCGGGTCAGCGTGCATATCGGGATCGAGCTCGGGCATGTTGACGTCGGACTGCGCATCGTCGAGCAGAGTGCTGTAGGAGGACGGCGAGAGGCACGCATGGTAGCTCAGCCTCTCGGGAGGCTTGCCAAAGTTGGAGCGGGTGGAACATCGAACTGCAGGCTTGTCGGCAGAGACTTCCACCACGTCGCTCGATGTGCCATCGTCGGACTGCTCCATTGTCGACAGCTCCTCTGAAACGTGCTCCCCGTTCGACGGCTCCCCTGTCGACGGCTCCTCTGTCGACGGCTCCTCTAAATTGCGCTCCCCGTTCGACGGCTCCCCTGTCGGCGACTCCTCTGAAACGCGCTCCCCGTTCGCCGGCTCCCCTGTCGCCGGCTCCTCTGAAATGCGCTCCCCGTTCGCCGGCTCCCCTGTCGCAGGCTCCTGTAAAACACGCTTCCCGTTCGATGTCTCCCCTGTCGGCGGAGACTTCACTCCGACGCCGACTTGCTCGCTGACCAGATCACGTCGACCGCCAGCGATGCCAATGGGCGGATCCGAAGGTGATGCACCAATGCTCCCCTCATCGCTGGCGGCCGACGTTGATGCCGACTTAGGCAAGCCGGCGGCGAGCGATGGGAGGGAGGTGGGAAGAGGCGGAGGAGCGTTCGAGGAGGGTGGAATGGAGGGAGCGGGATCATCTGATAGGCTGTCGTCCTCGGAGGCGAGCAACTCAATCGCCGCCGGCGATGGGCCCGTTAGAGGAGAGGCCTTCGTCCGCTCTGACGCCGGCCCATGCTCCTCCTTCCACTCCGCCAGAGACATCGTCTCGTAGAAGATGGCCTCCACGGTTGTGACAATGCGGTTGTCAGTGAGATCAAGCACCTCCCAGCCCTTGCTCCCCGGCGAAACACCAAGGTGAATTCCCCAGCGTGCCTTTGGCGCCAATTTTCCGTCGCGCTGCTGCTCCGGGACCATGAACTGCACCATGCAGCCCCACACACGCGCCAGCGTAAGGTCCAGCTTCTGTTGGAACAACAACTCATACGGCGTCGTCCTCGGAGGAAGGGATGCCCGTTCGAGGCAGTTGCGCACCCAGACGGCGTGACGAAGAGCGAGATGCCACCAGTGATGCTTCACCCCCATGTGAAGTAGCATCGTCCGCATAGATTCGACGACCGTCCGCATCTCCCACTCCGCCATGCCAGCTGCGGAGTGTAGGGGCAGGTGAGGTTGTGGAGGATGCCCTTGTCCTCGACAAGTTCGGTGAATTTCCTGCCAAGAAATTCGCCTCCGCGATCCGAGCGCAACCTTTTCACCGTCGTCGAAGTCTGCCGCTCCACTTCCTTCAGCCACTTCTCGAAAACGACCAGCACGTCGCTCTTCTTCCCGATCGGGCGGACCCACACAAAGCGGGTCTTGCGGTCTTTGCGGAGGAGGAAGTAGAGGCTCCCATCTGCTGCGGCCACACGGAAGGGGCCACAGAGGTCAATGTGCACGACGTCAAGGGCGTTTGTAGCCTCTGATCCCATCTCTGGAAAAGTATGACGCGTCAACTTGCCGCCGACACAAGAGGTACACGGCAAATCGGCTCCAGTTCACCTCGCAATGTCCAGACCGATGGCAACTTCATGCTTCGCCGAGCTCATAATCGTGTCGATGCCGACGTGCGCGAGCCTCGCGTGCCACTTAGCCGGCTTTGACTTCGTCGCCGAGGCGATCGTCCGCAGAGCAACTGCTTCTGTCGCAGATGTAGTCGATTTCGAGGAGCAGGGGCGGAGGTCGGTGCAGAGGACTCGGCCGGTGTAGCGTGCTCGACCGAGCACATCTCCTGCAGCGGAAACGAGCAGCATCTCGTCACCCTCGTTCTTCAGCTTCACACCGTTTTCCTCCAGCTGGTCAGCAGACAGTAGGTTCGCGTACACGCCCGGAACGTACAACACGTTGGGGATGAGAATCTGCTTCCCAGTCTCCCCTTTCAGAGCAACTGTGCCACAGCCTTCGACATTCAGAAGCGCCCCATTGAATCCGCGCACGTGACGGATTTCTCCTCCTGGCTTCATTTCGACGAAGGCCTCTCGCGTTCCCATCAGATGATGGGAGCAGCCACTGTCGAGGAGAACCACAGTCGGATTCGCCTGCACGGCTGCTGCGACCGCCTGGAAGTCTTCGCCAGCCTCCGGCGCCAGCGAAATTCTTGGCTCGACCATGCCAACCATCGAACAAGAGGCTTCCTTTCCGCTCGAGGTACCAGCCTCTGATGTCGACGACGTTTTCGACGACGCATGCTTCTCCTTCCGCGGCTTGTTGTCTCGACGCTGACGATCGTTGTCAGACTTACCGTCCTCTGATCGACGAGCGTTTTCTGACTTTCCACGGCTTCCTCAGCTGCGTTGCTAGCACATTCAGCTGCGTTGCTAGCACACTCAGCTGCGTTGCTAGCACACTCAGCTGCGTTGCTAACACACTCGGCTGCGTTGCTAGCACACTCGGCTGCGTTGCTAGCACACTCGGCTGCGTTGCTAGCACACTCGGCTGCGTTTCTAGTACACTCAGCTGCGTTGCTCGCACCCTCAGCTGCGTTGCTAGCACACTCAGCTGCGTTGCTAGCACACTCGGCTGCGTTGCTAGCACACTCGGCTGCGTTGCTAGCACACTCGGCTGCGTTGCTAGCACACTCGGCTGCGTTGCTAGCACACTCGGCTGCGTTGCTAGCACACTCGGCTGCGTTGCTAGCACACTCGGCTGCGTTGCTAGCACACTCGGCTGCGTTGCTAGCACACTCGGCTGCGTTGCTAGCACACTCAGCTGCGTTTCTAGCACACTCAGCTGCGTTGCTCGCACCCTCAGCTGCGTTGCTAGCACACTCAGCTGCGTTGCTAGCACACTTAGCTGCGTTGCTAGCACACTTAGCTGCGTTGCTAGCACACTCAGCTGCGTTGCTAGCACACTCGGCTGCGTTGCTAGCACACTGGGCTGCGTTGCTAGCACACTCGGCTGCGTTGCTAGCACACTCGGCTGCGTTGCTAGCACACTCGGCTGCGTTGCTAGCACACTCAGCTGCGTTGCTAGCACTTGACCCTCACCATTTACGCCTCTCCCACTCTGCTCCCTCCCTAACGATTCCCTCCCACCTCCTCCCCGCCCACTCCCCTCCCCGGCTTATGGTTGCCACAGAGGGAGCTACTAGTGTACGCCGTGACACGCTTGGACCGGCCCTTCTCTGTCTTCCACATCGACGCACACATGGCCATTCACTTCAAGGCACTGCCATCGTCTCTCTCGCTCTCTCCCTCTCCCTCTCTTCCTGTGTGCTTTGAGCCTTACAAGCACGGGTCCTTCCTGCCCTTTCTCTCTCCTCCTCTCGTTCTTTCTATCATCTGCTCTTGCTTGCGCCATCAGGTTCCCCATCAGCTTCCCCATCAGCTTCCCCCCCATCAGCTTCCCCCCCATCAGCTTCCCCCCCATCAGCTTCCCCCCCATCAGGTTCCCCCCCATCAGGTTCCCCCCCATCAGGTTCCCCACTGCCTCCCTCGCTTAATGCCCGTCGTCACGTAGTAATGACATTTTCTGTCTTGAGAGTGTGTTTCGTTCTTACATCATCGTCTCTGTACTTGTGGATCTGCAAGGACTTCAACGCTTGCTGCTTGGACGTGGGACCCACTCACTCCTACCATGACCATCTCTTCATTTCCTATTCGGAAACCCCCTTCCACGTGCTCCTTCCGTTTTGCCTACATTCAGAACGCGTGGATGCGGAGAGAGCATCCCAGGACCCTTCCCTCCTACCAGCGATTCAACGCCACGCCAGACCAATGGGAGCGCGCCATGTGGCCTCTCACGCCAGGTGGCGCCATGTCAGCTGATGCGCTTTCGCTGATAGCAGCGGCGGACGTGATTGGCGAGAGGACGCACTGCCACATGGACGGCATGCTCAGGAACCGAGTGCAGGTGGGTGGGTGCGTGGGTGGGTGGAAGTGGGTCGAAGTGGGTACACGTGGTGTGATATGGGTGGTTGGTTGTGTGCATGGTTGGCACAGGGGATCCGTCTTTCCCCCGTGCCTCTCTATACCCTTCGCCTCTCTTCACTGCACTCCCCTTTCTCCCCTGACCTCACCCCTGCCCCCACTGCCATCACGCTTCTTCCCGCCCCAATTCACTTCGCCGCACTCCCCCGCCGCTCTCAGCTGCGCATGGCGGGGCTGGCAGCGCTGGACGTGATGCAGCGCGTGCGGCGCTCATGGGAGGCCATGGCCATGGCCATGGCACGGGCACAACGCGGGGAGCAGCAAGAGGGGCGAGAGGGGGAGGAGCGAGACGAAGAGCAGGAGGAAGGCGACGAGGAGTTGGGTGTCGGCTACAAGAGCGAGGGTGGGGACAGGATGGGCAGGGGGGAGCAAGGGAAGCTGCAGAGACCGCGGCTGCAGTCGCTGGTGAGGGAGGTGGAAGGCGAAGGGGGCAAGGGCGCAGTGGAGGGATGGAGGGACGTGTTTGATGTGGTGACTCGGTGGCGGCAGATCGCCAACCCCACCGACGCCACCTTCTGGAAGCACTCCCTGCTGTGAGTGCCATGCCCTCTGCCCCATCCACCCCCACCCACTGCCCCACCCACCCACCCAGTTCCCCTCCCTAAAGCCTACACCACGTATGTAACGGCCCAGGCTGGGGATTGCGACTCAGGTCAGGGATGGCATGGAAACTACAAGGGCTTGCACGGACATGCAAGGGCTTGCAAGGGGTGGATGGAAAGCGGTGCTTTGGCTAGTCTCACACCCCTTCCTCTCCCTCCCTGCCTATCTTCCTTTCCTCGTGCAGGTCCCCAGAGCGTGTGGCAGTGCGGTCCACCACGCCCATCCACGTGTACAATTTCGAGACTGTCAAGTACTACCCCGTGCTCCACAGGTGCGTGGCTGGGTGGGTGCCTGGGAGGGTGGGTGCGCGGGTGGGTGAGTGGGTGGGTGGGTGGGTGGGTAGGTCCCCTTTCCTGCCCCTCACTCGCATGCTGCCACCCTTCCACCACACCCCTCCTGCTCCAGCTATATTGGAAACACCTTTGAGAATTTCCGCTTGTGAGTCGCGTTTGAGAATCCTCATAGGGACTTTCTCTTGTTTTTATGTACCTGTTGATTGCCCTCCCGTGCAGGGCAGTGGCCCTCACCAGAGCTACTCTCTTGGAGAATGAGGAGGCATTCGATGCCGATTACACTCGTTTTAGTGTGCCTCGCAGCAGCCATGGCAGCAAGGTTGGGACACCAAGAACCCTGCTTGCACTTCCAGTGAAATCTATAGGCTTACACTAAAGTCCCTGCTTGGAGTAGCTGTTCCCACACTGTCCGTCTGCTTTCCCGTCAGACCTCCCCTGACTGCCACAGCTGCACGCTCCTGCTGCACCATGCTTCCTACCATCTGGTGTCCCCTTGGTATCAGCTCTCTCCGTCTCGTCACATACACCATATCCATTGTGATTGAGCGCATGGCTGCACCGCATGCTGCTATGCTCCCTCATGCTTATACCCGTCTCAGCCCACCGCAGACCACCTCCATCTTTTATTCGCTCCCACCCCACACCCTCCTCTCCTGTGCGTCTCTCTCCCCGGCCATGCGCCTCGTGTGCCTGGCAGATAGAGGCGGCAAGGGACCTGCAAGAGCTGCATGCAGCAGTGGGGCGGGACTTCAGTGCGCTCACACTCATCCGCAGTGCTCTGCACCCGCAGTGAGTTTTGAGGCGCCTCAAAAGTTGCAAGAGCTGCATGAAGCAGTGGGGCAGGAATCACTTTTGAGAATTCTCCAAAGTGATTCCCAAAGGGCAGGACTTCAGTGCGCTCACTCTCATCCACAGCGCCGCGGTGAGCCGCGCTGTGCTTTTGTGGCGTTTCAAAAGTCGCTCTGCAACCATGGCTGAAAGGCGGAGCCGCGTGATGGGCTCCGATCCGCCTCACTCACTTGCCTCCTTGCCACCATCGTATAACCACACATGAACCCATTCCCCCATGTCTCGAAGGCTTCATATCCCCATGCCATGCCAGCCTCCCTTGCCTCGTCCTCTCGGCCTCTTCTCTCCCCCATACTCCCTGCTCGCAGGCAGCGCATTCCAGGGACAGAATTCCAAGTCAAGAGGACGTGAGTGCCCCCTCCTCGTTCTGCCTTCTCCTCCTTCTCTCCTTCTATTCCGCGTTCTTCTTGCCAGCTCGTTGCGTGCGAGTGGTTGATGGAGGTGCTGCTGTGACTGTGAGGTGCCGATGCTGTGCCTGACAGTGTGTGGTGCTGTGTGGTTCTGTGCGGTGCTGTGCGTGGCAGCAACCACTCCTACGACTTCTACACTGAGACCGTGATGGATGCAGACAGGTGGAGCAACTTCAATGCTGAGATGTCTGCAGCATGGCAGGTGAGTGCAGTACAGTGCGGTGTGGTGCAGTGCAGTGCAGTGCGGTGCAGTGGAATGCAGTGTGTACGGGAAGCTGAGGTTTGAGGTTCCTGTAGCAGCATGAATATTCCGCTTCCGTTCCCGCAACAGCATGTTCAATCCGTGGTCCACGTGAGAGCTGCAATCCGTGTATCAGCATCCCAATACCTTGTCTTGCCATTCCCTCTCCAATCCAATCCTTTCTCACGACTCTCTCTTCCCCTCTCTCTCCTCTCTCTCTCCCCCTCTCATTCCCCTCGCTCTCCCCCCTCTCTCCCCCCCTTTTCCGTGCTCTCACCCACCCTCGCCAATCCATCCACAAGTCACTGTGCACGGCAGTGTTGGATGCGCGCACACAAACCCAGGACCCCCAGCTCTACCGCCACCGCATTCAGCACGCCATTCTCCGCCTCGCCTTCTTCTGGTGCGCCACACAAGCACAGCCACAGCCACGCCTTCTTTTCATTTGCACCCTGTCTCCTCAACCCCACCCTCTTCTCGCCTTTCCTCAACACTCCCTTACCGTGTATCTCACCCACTCTCGCCCCAGCCAGGTAGGGACGATACCCTGGATGGATCCAAGTGGGAATTTCTAGATTCTTGTTTTGTTAATCTCTTTGGAGTCGAATGGAACGATCTCGATTTCAACGGAGTCCCCTACCGGCCCACGGTTGACCCCATCAGGTTCCAGGTGATGCCACTGACACGCGGGTCCGCCATGGGAGGGATGGTGGCGATCCTGGGCCTTAGCATGGCTGCTGACATGCAGACCACCGCTCTCATCCCCCCCAACATGCATGTGAGTCATGGGATGATGAGGCAGGGGATTGGGATGATGGGGTGATGGGGTGATGGCGTGATGAAATAAGGGATGGGATGATAGGATTCGTCTACTCCTAGCATGGCCACTGCTCACCAGCTTCTCAATGTGCCTCGGTCTCTACCACGAGTGCCGCTGACCTGTTCGCTCAGGGTTCGCTGCGTGCCCTCTATTTGTGTGTGAGCATGTGTGCGTTGTGTGCGTTGCGTGCGTTGTGTGCGCTTGTGTGTGTTGTGTATGTCTGTATGTGCGTTGCTGCTCCTACTGCCGCCTTACAGGTGGACTGGGAGGCACTGCTGAGCACAAGGCACGAAGACTTTGCAGCTCAGGTGCAGCCGTGGCTATACGCTGCAGTGCAGGCATCGCCATGGCATCTCCCCCTCGTGCACCAAGTGCTCTCCACACCACGCCTCGTGCTCGCTGCTCTCACTCACAGCCTCACCTTTGAGAGTGAAGTGAATTTAAATTAGTAGTGGTAGCGGTAGTGGCAGTGGTAGTATGTAGTAGTGAGGGATCCAATTCACGGCCATCACCACTGGCCATAACCAGTCACGGTTGGTTATTCATTCAATCTTGACTGTAGCATGTTGTACCATGTTTGGTGCTTAGTTTTGCATTCAGGATAGCACTCAGGTTTTGCTGGAATGAAACTCACAACACAGTTGCATATGATTTCTCTTTTGTTGAGCCACATAATAGCGGAGCGTGCCACTTGAAAGGGTTCACGCGTGCCGTGTACGTCCGCCCCTCCCTCAAGCTGCTCTGCCCCGCCCATCCCGATGCCCCCTGCGCTTTCGTATCCTCTCCGCCTTTACTGTATAGCCACGTGCGCGGGTGGACGCCTAGGACTTGCCACGTGGCATCAGATGTCGCACTACGCTCTGCTGTCGCCTCCCGCCTCAGCCGCACCATCCTTCATCCGTCGTCCGCTTTTCTCGCCGCCCGCCTCTGTTTCCCCCGCGCCAATCCGCCAGCCATCCCCGCTTCCCCGGCCAGCACACGCCCAGGTCTTCTCCATTCCCCTCCCGCGCCTCGCCCCTTTTCCCGCGAACACAATTAAGCGGGAGCTAAACGTCAGCAATGGGGGGAGGCGCAGCAACGGCAGGGGCTGCTGCGGAGGGAGGGCGGTGAGATGCGCGGCTGGCGGGGCCCAGGGGAAAGGCGGGGGAAGAGGCGGGGCTGATGCGGTGTTTGATGAGTGGATGCGGACGGTGGCGGAAGGGGGAGGCGGGGACGTGGCATTGGCGCCTCTGGCGCGCAGAGATGGCGGAGCGGGGGAGGAGAAGGGCAGGGAGTGCGATGAGGGGTTAGCGCGGAGAGATGGCGAACGTGCGGGAGGTTTGGCGCGGGGTGATAGCGCAAGGGCGAGGCTGGGGGAAGGGGATGGCGACAGCAATGGTGACGCCAGAAGACACAATGATAGAAGCTGTGGTGTGGGGGATCATGGGGGAGGAAACGACGATGAGCGGGATGGGGAAGGCATGGAGGATTGGATGGGAGCAGAGAGCAGCGGACTTGGTGAGTTTGGTAGAGCAGATGGGGAAGCGGGGGACGGCGGGGAGGAAAGCTGGGACGGAGAGGGAGGGAGAGAAAGGGGGGAAGGCGGGGAGGGCGTGAGGTGGTTCGAGTGGAGGGAGTGTGTGGACGTTTTGAGGGCACAGATGGAGGGCAGGCAGCTGCAGTGGAACGAGAGGCGCAGGCGGTTCGAGCACACATGCACCGGGAGTGATGGTGACCGGGGCGCTGCTAACCCTGGCGGTAACTGTGGTGGCGGTGGCAGTGTGTTCTTCCTGGCTCCGCCACTGGTCCTCCTACCTCCCACGGCACCCCAATCACCCCAAGAGTGCGTCACACCGTACTGGGTAGGTCAGGTCCCTCCGATGCCAAACTGTTTCTCCAAAGGTTCCTTCTCCAGGGGTTGTCTTGCCTTGCAAGGGGTTCTCTGCAATCCCTGACCTCCCGTCCATGCGCGCCCCACCACGTCTCCCCCTCCCCCTTACCCATCTCTGCAGGTACATCCGCTACCTCCTCTCCCGCCCCACCCTCCCCGCGCCTTCCACCTCCCCCCTTCCGCCTTCCGCGTCCCCCCGCGCCCCCTCCCTCGCCCTGGGCTCGCACATGGTGGCGCTGCTGTGCGCTGACTCCGCTGCCCTCGCCATCTTCCACCAAGGCGCGCTCGCACAACACAAGGTGAGCGCCCGTGCTTCTTCCCCTGAGAAATCCTACACCCGCCTGTGCTCCCATGCTCCCTGCATGCTCCCCATCACCCTTTACTCTTCCCCCTCTCCCTTCTCTCACCCCTCTCCCGCCTCTCCACCCCTTCTCTCGCCCCCACCCCGCCCCTTCCCCCCAGGTGATAACAGCATACACGGTGCGGGCAAAGCAGGGGCGGTCGCAGCTGGCGCAGCAGAGGGGCAAGGGCGCAGGGCGCATGAGTGCAGGCGCGGCCATCCGCGCACGGGAGACCCGCCGCCTCTTCTCTGAGGTTGTGCAGGTCAGTCTGTTGCAGCCCAGCGTGCACCATGCACGCATCCATGCCCTCATGCCCTCATGCCCACACGCCCTCATGCCCTCCTGCCCCCATAACCCCCTCCTTTACTGTGTCTGCATACATTCCCTCCACTCCTCTCTTCCCACTGCCATAGCCTCGCATGCACCTGCTCTCATCTCATCTCTCCACTATACCTGCCCCTGCCACCTGCTGCATCTCTTCATTCGCCTTAACCACTAGCCGCCTCAAACCTTGCCTTGCCCTCCACACCCTTCTTGAGTCTTCACCTTTCCGCATTGTCCCGCGGCCCTAGTGCTGCAGTGTTTGACCACGTCGCTGAACTCATTTCTCCGAGTGTCATGTGGCCGTCGTGCTGGTGCGGCGGTGGCAGCGCTGTGTGGCATGGGAGGCGGACATCAGACAGTGCGAGAGGCTCTTCTACAGTGGGGACGTGCGCGCGTGGAATGAGGTGCGCGTGGAATGAGGTGCGCGTGGAATGCGGTGCGCGTGAAATGAGGTGTGTCTGGAATGATAATGATGTGCACGTGGAATGTGGGTGCATGCTTGCCGTGCCGCCTGCCTGCCTTGGAGCATGCACAAGTCATCACCGCGTTCTGTCATGCTGCAGTGCTCTCTCCTTCCATGCTTCAACTTCAACCCATGTCGTGCTCCCTCGTACTCTGTTCCAAACCCATGTGAGACCACACCCCACCACGCCCCACCATGCCCCACCCCACCCACCTCACCCCACCCCACCCCACCTCATCCTGCTGTGCGGTGCAGGTGTTTGCATGCCGAACGCCGGCCATGCCAGTTGAGCGCAAGGACGAGCGGTGGTTGAAGGTGCCCTTTCACGTTGCCCGTCCCCGCCTCGCACAAGTGCTCCAGTGAGCCGCCACGCTTGTGGGATGGGTGGTGGGACGGGTGGTGGGATGGATGGTGGGATGGGTGGTGGGAGGGACGGTGGGATGGGTGGTGGGACGGGTGGTGGGAGGAAGAGGATTGGGGGAATTAGTGATGGGTTTGAGGTTGCGGGCTGAGGGATGCAGAAGCAAGTGGGGCTCTACTCAACCGGTTGACAAGACCCAAAGATTCCGCAAGCTCTTCTTGACTGCCCTTCTTCTCGCCCACGTTTGCCTGGGAACCGAAATGCACCTGGTTGTTGTTTCCTTGGCCGTCTCTTGTTTCTCCCCGTGCCATGCCCAATGCCCCATTCCCCTTGCTACTCCCTCCCTTTCCTGCCACATGCAGTGTCTTCCACCGCCTCAGCCATGGGTGCTTCGGAATGGAGCCCAGATGACAGCAGGGTTGGCCCATGTGGCCCACACCACAAAACGCAGCTTCTGTCAGAGACACTTGAGTCAATCCCAGCAATCACTATGTTAGTCGTACTGTAGCAGTAGCAGCAGTGGTGTTGGGTAGGGTAAGTTGATGCAATAATGCTTAGAAAGCTCATGAATCACTAAAGGCGTAAGATAAAACATTCATCAACTTAAATGTAATTGCATATTCGAATGGCTCATGTTCAGATACACCTCTTAGAGCCTCTCCGGCTTTGTTCTTCCGTAAAGAAAACTTCGGCGCCCACGATTTCCGCTGTTTTAGCCAACAAATGCTTAGAAAACACATAAATGTGTCAGAATGTTAAATTAATAGGTCTGCAGTAGGGTACTCGATAGTGAGTACAGCCCACATTTTGGATTTGCTATATGTATCCTATCCGCTGCTAGTGCAACCCTTCTTTCTGTTTCTAACTTTGTGCTAGCGTTTCTCGACAAAATGCCTATAGGCATAGGGAAAAACATTCCTAGAAACAGTCCTAGAATGTTCGTTGGAACATGGGCCACTAGAATCGGCGAAAAGAATCAGGTGGTCCGACGCATTTTTCCAAACATATGGCGATTACGCCGCATTTTTAGCACGTGGCGGCAAAAATTGTCGGTTTTAAGGGTGTCCTGTCAGAATGTTATTATCTAGCCTGTAGTGGGGTGCTTGTCAAATGTTGTAGCCTGTAGTGAGGTTTGTCTTAGGGGGTACAGAAGTTAGGGTTTGTCAAATGTACCCCAACCAACATCAATGCAACACCCATTCCTCATTCTGACATGGTATCAGCTAGGTTAGGATCCTGTGGGATCCCGTTCCTCCGTGCTCCGTTCGTACCTCCCGAGCCTGATCCTACCTCTCGTTTGTACCAGTTTAGTTGTTACCGCGCCTAGTACCGAGCCTAGCATCATCTCCCCCGTCGCGTCACGCCCGTTCCCCCCCGTCGCGTCGCGCCCGTTCCCCCCGTCGCGTCGCGCCCGTTCCCCCCGTCGCGTCACGCCCGTTCCCCCCGTCGCGTCGCGCCCGTTCCCCCCCGTCGCGTCGCGCCTGTTCTTCCCGTCGCGTCGCCCTGTCCCGTCCCGTCGCCCTGTCCCGTCGCGTCGCCCTGTCCCGTCCCGTCGCGTCGCCCTGTCCCGTCCCGTCCCGTCCCATCGCCCTGTCCCGTCGCGTCGCCCTACCCCGTCGCGTCGCCCTGCCCTGTCCCGTCGCCCTGCTCCGTCGCGCCGCCCTGCCCCGTCGCGTCGCCCTGTCCCGTCGCGTCGCCCTGCCCCGTCGCGTCGCTCCCGCCCTTTCCCCCGTCGCGTCGCCCTCCCTAGGCCCTGGCCCGTCGCCCTCCCTAGGCCCTGGCCCGTCGCCCTCCCTAGGCTCTGGCCCGTCGCCCTACCCTAGGCCCTGGCCCGTTGCCCTACCCTACGTTTTGGCCCGTCGCCCTAGCCCGCTCTTCCGCTGCGACTGAGTCCTCTTCCCCCCCGGTTGTTACTCGCCTGTTCGTTCGCGTTGGTTCTCACTATGGCGACTCCGCGAGTTCTTCGTTTCGACGCTGACGGTAGACCCCTTGACTTTTCCGTCTGGCTTCTTCGCGCTCGTCGTCTGTTAGAGAGTCAGGTCCAGGGGGGCGAGACCCTCTGGTCCCACGCTACTGGTGACCTCCCCGAGCCCCCCGAGCCTACCGCTTTAGGCCCTGCTCCTGACGACGCTGCTACGGCTCGCTTTGCCCGTCAGCGCGCTGACCGGACGGCTTGGACGTCGCGTGACGCTGCGGCCTGCATCGCACTCAGCAGCCTCCTCCCTGAGTCCGAGGAGGTCCACTTTACTCAGGTTCGCACCGCTGCTGCGTACCTCACTGCGATTAAGGCCCGCTACTCTACTCCCGCTACTGTCTCTCTCGGCCGTCTTTTCCTCCCGTTCCTGTTTCCTGATCTTGCCTCGTTTGAGCGCTCTGCTGACTTGATCGCTCACCTCCGCTCGCTCGACGCTAGTTACCGCGCTGCTTGCACTGAGGCACAGCTTGCACTGCTTCCTCCCCCCATGGCGATTACTGTCTATTTCATCGCCACTAGCCTCCCTGACCGCCTTGCCTCCGTTCGTGACGCGCTTCTGCTGAAGCACCCTAGTGAGCTGACTATCGAGGTCCTTGAGTCTGCACTCAAGGACGTCGAGAGCAACCTTCGTTCGGTAGCTGCCGCCTCTGGTACTGTGTCCCCCCCACTCTTCCACGGGTGCACAGTCCCGCAGTTACCCACCTTCACTGCCTCTCTTGCCACTGCCGCTACTGACGCGACTGCGGCTGCTGTTACGACTGCGTCGCGGTCCCGCGGAAGGGGGGGCAAGAAAGGTGGTTCCGGTGGAGGTGGAGGCGGAGGTAGCGGAGGTAGTGGGGGTGCTGTTGCGACTGGCGGTGGTGGGAGTGCAGCGTCTGGAGAGACCCCTCGTGCAGCGGCTGGTGACTCCACTGCACCTGCTGGTGGCGGCGATCCTCGAGCTCGTCAGTCGCCTCCTGTACTGCCGGCCCCGCTAGGTGGAGCAGCGGCGTGGTACCAGGCTCAGCGTCAGCAGCACCTTCAGCAGCAGCAGCAGCCCCTTTCCTCCCAGCAGCCTCAGCAGCAGCAGCGTCAGCAGCTGGCTCCGGGGTCGGGGCTGCGTCAGCCCCAGCGCGGTGCTGCTTACCCTCCCTGCCCCTACCAGGTTCAGACAGGTCCTCGTCGGGGCCACCCTTGTGGCCGCTTTCACCCCCCTGGTCAGTGCTTTGCTCAGCTCACTGACACGGTCCGGTTGACCTACGGGGTTGGCGGTCCTGCTCCTGACTGGCTTCCTCTGGTTCAGCGCTACGGCTCCGCTCTGTGGGGCATGTCTGCTGAGCAGTTAGTTGATCTGATTAGTGCTCCTCATGCTATGTATGCTGTTGTTGACTCTAGTGTTTCTGACTCTGTTTACTCTGGTGTTGTTAGCTTAGGTGCTAGTCTTGCTCAGTTGCCTGTTGCTAGTGTAGGTACTTGTGTAGACTCTAGACCAGCGACTACCTCAGAGGACGCTTCGCTGTCGTTCACACTGGACTCTGGAGCCTCCCACTGCTTCTTTCGGGACAGCACGACACTTACACCACTTCCTGCGCCTGTTTCTGTAGCGTTGGCTGATCCCACTACGGGACCAGTCACTGCACATCACACTACCACTTTACCGTGTCCTGCTGCTCCCTCCGGGTCTCTCACTGGGTTTCACGTCCCCTCGTTCTCCCGGAACTTGGTGGGCGTGCGACCCCTCGTGAGTCAGCACGTGGGTGTGTGGTTTGAGCCTTCTGGAGAGACTGCGGTGTGTGTTGACGGAGACTCTTACCAGCCTCTTGCTACCTTTACTGCTGAGCCGGGCTCGGGTCTCTACACTCTTCACATTGGCCCGCGTGCGCCGCAGCAGCAGCCGCAGCAGCAGCAGCAACCGCAGCAGCAGCAGCAGCAGCAGCAGCAGCAGCAGCAGCAGCAGCACCAGCGGCCGCACCAGCAGCCCCCCCTACTGCCACTGCCCCCGGTTCCCCACCCCGTTCGGGTCCCCGCGTCTCACCAGGTTGCTACGTCCCCCCAGGTGTCTGTGTCGTGTCAGGTTCCTACGTCTGTTCCAGTCGCTGCGTCGTGCTCCTGCCGGTCGCTTGCCCACCCCACCGTTCTGTGGCACCACCGGATGGGGCACCCGTCCCTTCCACGTCTGCGCGCTATGTCTAGTCAGCGTCTTGTCCTAGGCCTCCCACGTGTCTTGCCGTCGCTGCCGCCTTCGCCTGCGCCGCCGTGTCGTCCCTGCGTCGAGGGTAGGCTGCGCGCCACCCCTCACTCCTCCTCCCTTCGTCCGGCCACCGAGCCTTTTGAGACGCTTCACTTGGACGTCTGGGGCCCAGCCCCTCGTCTAGGCCCTGAGCGTGAGCGTTACTTTCTGGTGGTAGTTGACGACTTCTCCCGCTACACCACAGTGTTCCCTCTGGCGAAGAAGTCTGAGGTGACTTCTACGCTGATCAGGTGGTTGCTCACCACTGAGGACACTCGTGGTCGTCGTGTCAGCTGTCTCCACTCCGACCGTGGGGGTGAGTTTCGCTCCGGCATTCTCGCTGGATTCTGTCGCGAGCAGGGCATTCGTCAGTCCTGGACGCTTCCAGAGTCCCCACAGCAGAATGGGGTTGCTGAGCGCCGCATAGGCCTGGTCATGGAGATCGCCCGCACCTCCCTGACTCACGCCTGTGCCCCCCATTTTCTGTGGCCCTACGCGGTCAGGTACGCCGCGCACCAGCTGAACCTCTGGCCACGTGTCTCTCGACCAGAGGTTTCACCGACCAGTCTTTGGACAGGGTCCCCTGGTGTTGCGTCGCGGTTTCGTGTCTGGGGGTGCTTGGCTCTTGTCCGCGACACCTCCGCGGACAAGCTCTCGCCTCGTGCCGTCCCCTGTGTCTTCCTTGGTTTCCCTGAGGACTCCTCTGACTTCACCTTTTACCACCCTCCCTCTCACCGGTTCTTTGACTCCCGTGACGTCCGTTTCGAGGAGTCCACTCCGTACTACGTCAGGTACCCCAGTCGAGGTCTCCCGGTTCCTCCTCCCCCCCTCTTCCTGACTGCCGTTCCCCCTCCTGCTCCCCCGGTACAGCCTCCCCCCCCTGGTCCAGCCCCGTCAGGTGTGTCCCAGGCTACCCCTCCTCCTTCGGTAGCCCCTCCGGTACAGCCTCCCTCCCCACAGTCCTCCTCGCAGCGTGCCGCTGGTGCTAGCTCTCGAGAGGTTGGTGCGGCGCCTGTTCCTGTACCGGTTTCTGGTTCTGGGGGTGCTGGAGTTGGAGCTGGAGTTGGAGCTGAAGTTGGCACTGGAGTTTCTGGTTCTGGGGGTGCTGGAGTTGGAGCTGGGGTTGGAGCTGGAGTTTCTGGTTCTGGAGTTGGAGCTGACCCGGTGGGTGCAGAGGACTCTTGTCGTCCGGGAGCTGGTGCTGGCCGCGCGGACACGGGGGGTGCT